CCCCCCCTAGGTTGCACAAATCAGGACAGAGTGCGCCAGGTTTCTCCGGCGGCACCTTGACGTCACCAACTGTGTACAGACGTACGTCCTGAGTGACTTGTACGGACTACGGCGTGTCAGGAGGGCGAGCAAGAAACTCATCACGGAGCACTTTCTACAGGTAGGACCAAGCAAGTTTCATTCTTTCAACTTCCTTCGTATGAGTGAGTGAGTGAGTGAGTGAGTGAGTGAGTGAGTGAGTGAGTGAGTGAGTGAGTGAGTGAGTGAGTGAGTGAGTGAGTGAGTGAGTGAGTGAGTGAGAGTGAATGAATGCACAGTACTTTGTCTTGTGGACCAAACATTCATCACCCACTCTTTCCTCCAGGTTTCCCAGTCTCCGATGTTTTTAGACATGCCAGCTGTCCAGCTACAAGACGTCATAGCCAGCGATGACGTCATGGTCACCACCGAACAGGACATCGTTGACGTCATCATGACGTGGGTACGAGAGGACCCGGATGAGAGAGGAAAGCACCTGCCCGAGCTCCTGATGCGCGTGCGCGTGCCCTACCACATCTTCCACGATGACAAATATACTAGTAGTGAAAGAGAAGATTTAGACACTGAATCGTCGGACTCGAATCAGCAGATAATGTCAAAAGGAAACACAACTTTTACCGAAAGCCTTGTGCAACTTGTTCCGCGTTTGGGATTCTATATGAAAAACTGCGTTATTTTTTACGCTAGGTCAAATTCTTTCTTATGCTTTTGCCCAACGGATCAAAAAATGTACCGTATAGAAGCGCCACCGGGCGACATGGAGCAGACTGCACCTTGCCTGGTCAACTTTTCTCTTTTGAGAACTGAGGAAAACGAGCTCTTAGCAGCTGGCGGAAGGTTGGACACAGATGACGACGAGCCGCCAAGGTTGACAAGATCTTTTCTTAAATATGACGTACACAGAAATACCTGGGAAAGATTGCTAGACATGACAACACCGCGTGAGAACTGCCAGCTCGTCTTTTTGGAGGACAACTTTTTCGCCATTGGAGGTTTCCGCCCAAACGGCTCGGCTACGTGCGAAAGATACGATCACGTGAACGACACGTGGACACCCATGGCGTCACTGCCATGTTCGGATGTGGTGAACTTGAAAGCTGTCGCGGTGGACGATGGGATAGTTGTCATTTCTCGAGAAGGAATGTACCGCTACTGCCTTCGCAATGACCGATGGGATACCCTCCCCTCCACATTCAGGAGGATTTTCGTAAAAGCTACGGCCTTCAGTAAGTTTTACTCCATATATCACTTATTCAATGACAAATAGATTGTTCTCAACAGTTTTCTCCACTTATGTTTTATTTTCTTTTGATTTCTTCAAAGTACTTATTAGTGAAGCCTGGTCAACAGTATGGCTGTATAACTAGATTTGTGAAGACAGAAATGCATCTACGTGTAGTATATGAATAGGAATTTTGGTCATTAAAACTTTGTAGCAAGTTCTCTTTTGGCAACACCATAGGAGCTTAACCAGTGTCTCATATACTAATTCGGCAGCCTTTGATTGACAAGGTGTTTGTACGACAAATAGGAAAGACGTAAGTAAATAAAAAAAATTGTACTGGTGGTTTGCATGTATTTTGTAAACATTGTGCAATCTGCTTTTTTACAGATGAACAAATATTCGGCGTATATTTCTCCCTCCCCACCACAAGCCCTCCACCCCTGCACCTGGGAGTGTATCGTTCCGAGACAAAGCGTTGGCAAGCAGTAGGGACTGTACCATTACGGCAAAAAGAGGGGGAGCGGCCTCTATTTGTGGAGTTCTTAAACTACCGAGAAGAGCTATATCTGCTGTACGGTTGGAGAAATGGAGATGAATGTATTTTTTCCTCCGACAGGTAAAGAAGGAATTATGTACTCTTTTTGCAGCATAACTGAAGGCAATTTCATATTTTAAAACTTATGTATCTCATGGAGTCATAATTATATGTATAAAGTGCCCTGTCTGTCATGTCTGTATCTTTTAAAGTTAAAGACCCTTGTTATTTTCTTCTAGCCTCTACCAGGCTTCGGAAGCGGCTGGAAAGACACGAAAACTGTACTCATTTAGAGCACCATCTCCCCATGGCATGTTATCTTTCTCTCAATAGGTTTCTCTCATTGCAGATACAAACCGTCAGACGACACCTGGGTACGAGGTGACCTTCTCATCCCACCACTGTATGCTGGGAACGAGATTTTCGACTTGTCGTGCTTTTCGGCAAAGTTGGTGACGTCATCTTTAAAAACCGTGTCAGAATTCGCATTTACTTAGAGGGAATTTCTACTAAAATATATATGGATACATCCTCTGTGAAAGTATGTTTGAATATACGTAATAACGTTACATAGAATCAAAAAGAATCTTTCTTTCTCTCTCTCTCTCTCTCGTTTATTATGTATATGTTGATAAGTTTTACACAAAAAATGCGTACTGTTATTAAATACAAATAGAATGTATAGAATCAAATTAGAAAAAAAAGAAGTTCAATTCTAAACATATACATAAGTTTGATTCAGTACATATAAGTATGCTTTTGCTGGTGCATGGCGGAATACATTTTTGTATATCATTTGTTAGTGTATCCTCTAAGACGACTCTTATGTAGTACAGTACAGTACAGTACAAGGTAGAAAAAAATGAACGAGAAAAGTAACAACAATATGTTTTCCTTCAGTAAACATAAATATCAGCTGTGAAAACAACCTTCAACAGTGTATATTGAAACAAAGGAAGAGCATCATATCATACAGCGCTGTGCGTGGTGGGAGTCTACTGTATGTTCTTACTTAACTTAATTAACATGTCTACAGAATGTAATACCAGACATACACACGGCACTCTCGAAGATTGGATGCATTATTGTATGCAATACTATAACACCTGCGTGGCAGACAATCAAATACCTAATCCTTTGCGACGGCTTGGTACATGGTGTACGTGTGCAGGTGTAAGGGGTACGTGAGTGTAGTTAGCCTTGCCCTTCATGGCTTGCCCCTAACGTTAACAAGGACACACATCAGGATAGCCGCCGATCTTAGAAGTGTACCTGGTAGAGGCTATATGCTGCCGGTCCTACTCTCTAATTGATAATGTAATGAGTGTAAATTTTAATACTCTCACCAACAATGACCAATAAACGCCCTCTGAAGACCACGCCATGTGGTTTTCTGATATCAGTGACCATGTCACGCACGAACTGACCCGTAGCGGTAAACATGGCAACCCGGTTGTTTCCAAAATCCGACACCAGTATATGACCAGAACTAACGGAACACAGACCACGCGGACCCTCCAACAGTCTATCTTTCCGCCCAGCGCGCTCAAGCACTCTAAAGCTGAATTCAAACCGCCCTTTGCTGTCATACACGTTAACAGAGTCCCCGAACCAGTCCGACACAAAGATCTTCCCGCCCTTCCCCACTGCCACATACCCGGGTCCCTTCATCTCGGGCCCTGTGGTGAACCTACCACGCACGAGAGTGCCGTCCTGGCGGTAGATGCTGGTACTGCACCCAGTCGAATTCCTCACGGGTTTATGGTCACATCCAACAACAATAACCTCGCCTGTTTCACTGTTGACGGCGACCCCGTATGCCAGCCTACCACTTATGAAAATGCGGCAAAGAATTCCGCCCTCTCTGTTATATCTGACCACATAGTTATGCCCCGCCACCCAAATGCCCCCCTCCCTGTCCACTGCCACGCCAACAGGACGAAAACGGGTCAAAAAGCCAAGGACTTCGTTTAGCACCATGGTTTTGAAATGGCCAATACAAGCCCCTGTGGTGTTGTATACTAAGATACACCAATTGTTATAATCAGCTATGAAGATTTCATCGTTGTTGTTTGAAATAGCGACTGCAAGCGGACTTATTTTGTTGGCCAGGGGTCCAGTGCGTAGTGTCAGGCCTGCTGTAATAAAAGGTAAAAAATTAAACATTACACGAAAGTGGAAAGATTTACAGCTCAAATTACAGAAGCTCCTACAATATTAAAAAAAACATGCATGGCAAGCATGCCCCCTCTGCCTTATTTTTGCCTTTTTAGCTTTGGGACATCTACTTATGTCATGCCCCGACTCCATATCTACGTGCTTAGGCGTATATATTACACATGTATGTAGTGCGTTACAAAAGAGAGACAGAAACGCTTAACGTACATCGTGTCATATACCGTTTACGTTCATATTCCTGTAGTAATAGTTTCTTGGAACAGACTTACTGTATTGATCACATTGTCATTGTTACCAACTTGCCATACATTGTAACATTCATTCATTCTAGCACAACTTTTTGTCATTTTTCTCTGGGACGTAGGGCACGTTCAAATTATTTCCAAAACAAAACTCTACATGGGCGGTAAACTTGCCTCTTGACTTCCTGATATCAGCTCTGCACGATATGGTGGGCATGCTTGATGCGACTGTGGTCAGTGTTGTTAGTATTGTAGTCGCCTCTTCTAAAGTTGGTAACAAAAATATAGGATTAAGAAGTAAGGGAATAGTTATCTTGTATATACCTACATAATGAATGAGTGAGTGAGTGAGTGGAGTGAGTGAGTGAGTGAGTGGAGTGAGTGAGTGAGTGAGTGAGTGAGTGAGTGAGTGAGTGAATGAGTGAATGAGCTTTATTGCCCACAATGACGATGTAGTCTGGCTATATATATAAAGCGTTCAACAAACAATCATGAGTGACGTCATACAAAAATGATTGACAGGCCCACAAAAACTAGTGTACCTGTGTCGGTGAAGGTTATACATCCAGGTAATACAGGTAATAAGATACGCAAAAAAAAACAGTTACTCAACAACTGGATATGGTTTTGGAAACGGTCAGACGTTTCAAGTAGCATCCACTACCTTTCGAGTAGCAAGAACTTTTGAGCACTTTCTACTATTGACCAATAGCTCTTGCTTATATACCTGCATTTCTGCACAAGTTCTCTAGTGTCACTGACGAAAGGTAGAGGATGCTACCAGAAACGTCTGACCATTTCCCAAATCATGTCCAGTTGCTTGAGTAACTGTTTTTTGGCGAAGTCTACCTGTGTCTGCCTCGGGTGTCTGCCCCGCCTCTGTCGGAGGGTTGAACGGCGGGGTTCTTGTGGATACCGTGGCCGGTATAGAAATCCAGTTAGCACCTTCTGGTACCTAACAGAAGAAGATTGAATATATATTCACTGTCCTTGATAAAATATTGTCATTTTTGCATTTCACAAGAATATTATTGAATGTAAATCAACATCAAAAAGTCACTTGCATAAAAGGTTTATCCAAAAATGATGGATAATGAAATTCATATTTGTCAACTATCGGAGCTTGATCAGGCTAAGGCCAAATTTTCGCATACAGACAGACAGACAGATACATGAACTTTATTGCTCGACATTTGTACATGGCTCAGTGCATGGCAACAATGACAATGTGATCAATACCGTAAGTCTATTCTAAGAAACTATTCGTATTGACATAATTTACGTTAAACATTTCTGTCTGTTACAATATTTTCTCTCTTTTGTAAGGCACTGCATATGTATTGGCTTGTACGTAGATATGGAGTCGGGGCATGACATAAGTAGATTGAAAATGTCTGTCTGTCTCTCACCTGTGTGTCTGGATGAGCTGTCGTCCTCCCGGCCATGTTTGAGACAGTCGTGATGTTGGGAATGATGATGAGGATAACAATGATCACGGCAGCGGTGGTGAGAACACTGCGGAGTGGAAACTTCACGGGCAGGGAACACTTCTGGTCCTCTCCCTCTCCCGTGTCTACAGATTTATAATATACACTTATGTTCAGTTGCAAAAACGTGCGTGCAGTCAGGGTAAATGTAGCCTCTACCAGGCTTCGGGAAGCGGCTGGAAGAGTAGAAATTGGTCAAATAGACAGAGAATATACCGGGGGAGTTGGTCCGCGCTAAGAGAACATTTTTTTTTCAGCAACAACCTGTTCTCTTAACGCGGATCAACTCCCCCGGCATATCATCTGTCTATTTGGGCACTTTCTACTCTTTTCAGCCGCTTCTGAAGCCTGGTAGAGGCTAGGGCAAATGTACACACCACCTATACTAGAGTTTAGGAATACAATGTCATTTTAAGGCGGCAAAACAAAACAAAAATATACTGGATAACAAATACATACACACACACACACACGCACGCACACACACGCACACGCACGCACACGCACGCACACACCTGAAGCCGATGGCGGGTCCTCCTGGGGCGCATCTGTTTGTCTTTCCGCGTGTTGAGATGCTTCTTGAGATGGCGGCGGTATAAGTCTGATCGCAGGGGGTTCGTCCGTACCGTCGTGCGTCTGTCGGGGTTCATCGCGAGTCTCTTGCGGTTCGTCGTACGTACAGTCGCACGTCTGTCGGGGTTCTTCGTACGTACAGTCGCACGTCTGTCGGGGTTCTTCGTACGTACAGTCGCACGTCTCTTGAGGTTTCTCGTAGGTGCAGTCGCACGTCTGTCGGGGTTCGTCGTAGGTACTGTCGCACGTCTCTTGAGGTTTCTCGTACGTACAGTTGCACGTCTGATGCGGTTCGTCGTAGGTACTGTCGCACGTCTGTCGGGGTTCTTCGTAGGTGCAGTCGCATGTCTCTTGAGGTTTGTCGTACGTACAGTCGCACGTCTCTTTAGGTTTGTCGTAGGTACAGTCGCACGTCTGTCGGGGTTCGTCGTAGGTACAGTCGCACGTCTCTTGAGGTTTGTCGTACGTACAGTCGCACGTCTCTTGAGGTTTCTCGTACGTACAGTCGCACGTCTGTCGGGGTTTCTCGTAGGTGCAGTCGCACGTCTGTCGGGGTTCCTCGTAAGTGCAGTCGCCCTCCTCAATACGCTGTAAAGTGAAGCTCTGACGGTGGAAAGTTTCACGTACAGCTGGTATCTTTGATCGGAGATTTTTCTGTACCGCTTCGACTTGCTCAGGAGCGCACGCCATTTTGTATTTTGTATAATCTCCTTGTTCAAACCAAGGACATTGTTGAAACTCACTCCAGTCGAAACAGAGACAAAGTTGCCAAATGCCAGTCCTTTCTTTCTGCAGTGTCTATTGACTCGGGAGTCTCTTCGTGAGGTACGGATCTATTTTTGCCCCTTTCACGTGAGTATGCAGTTTACAGACTTATTGGAACTTGGAACGCAATTAACTCGCACATGGACGGTTCTGCCGCCCACGTCGTCTTGCTGTCGACTAGACTGTATTCAAAACATGTCAGTCTTCAAGACTTGCCAAAACTAGTCAGCAGGCTTTAGCCTCTACCAGGCTTCGGGAGGCGGCTGAAAGAGTAGACATTGGCCAAATAGAGGAGGGTCTGCATGGGGGGGTCCTGGCAACGGTTAACGATAAATTCGGCAGGGCCGATAACGCTTAACGGTAAATTCGGCAGGGCCGATAACGCTTAACGGTAAATTCGGCAGGGCCGATAACGCTTAACGGTAAATTGACAGGCTTTTTTTCGAGCTGCACTGGATTTGGTATCTCGCTTTCTGAGAAAAGGTGATCACTGACAAAATTACGTATACCTTACATGTAATGAAGCACGCATCAAAGGTATGTGTTCCCTGTGTTCCCCACCTGCCCTGGCCCCCGAGTGCGTCCACAAATAAAGGGGAGTCCGAGTCGACGTTGGCCAGGGCTCTACCCAGCTGGACTTTTTTCCGTCCGCCCAGTTTTACCGATGGATTTTGAGAGGGAGCGCCGAAGGCGCTAGTCTAGGGGGGTCCAGGGGGATGCTCCCCCGGGAAATTTAGAATTTTTAAGCCTTCAAAAACGCAATTTCCCGCATTTTGAGAGGCAAATTATGGTGTTGAGAGTGTTTGTCGGTCCTTCTGATGTTTTCATATTTTTACTCATTTTGTTAATCTTGTCTGTCAAGGTTGACGGATTCGTAAAAAAAATTCTGTAACTCTCCGCAAACTTCCGGTATTTGACGGAAAACTGGTGCTGGCTAGAGCCGAAGGGGACCGAGCGCAGAAGCGCGAGTCGAGCGCTAAAGGCGCGAGCAATGTAGGGGGGTCCGGGGGCACTCTCCCCCGCGAAATTTTGTATTTTTAAACGTTTAATGACGCATTTTCCTGCACTTTGAAAGGCAAAATTAGGTGTGACGAAGAATTTTTCATTAACGCTTAACGCTGAATTTAGGATGACAAATAACGTTTTACGTTGAATTAAAACGACCAATAACGCTTCACGATGAATATACTGATAACGCTTAACGTTGAATTAGAGCGGGTCGGCAACGATTAACGGTAAATTAAAACAGCCCATAACGGTTAACGAAAAAGGGCATGCAGACCCTCATAGAGAGATGCACGGTGAGAGATGACATGCCGAGGGAGTTGGTCCATGCACCAGAGAGTCGTACATTCTGCGGGAAACTGTACTCTCTAGCAGACCAACTCCCCCGGAATGGTATCTCTTTATTTGGCCGATTTCTACTCTTTCCAGCCGCCTCCCGAAGCCTGGTAGAGGCCACAGGCTTTACGACTGGCCCTTTTTGGGAGCCTTTATTTATCAGTCCTTGGGCAAGAGTTTTACAATAAAGTTTGAAAAATACAATGCGTCTTTTTGATTTTAGCAACACTTTAATTGATTTCTACCGGCTCAGTGTACAGTCTGCTACATTTCGGCATCTTCAATGAAAATTTTAAAACGCTTAGAAGTTGTTGCGGACATGCTAGTTATGCCCCATGCGGATATGGCGTCTGAAAGGCATTTTTAATCCCCTCTTGCTTTGAGACGCCGAAATTTACCAAATTCTACTCCGCGCCGACAAATAATCCCCGGTACAAATTAATAGAAGCGATGCCAGAAAGAAAACTAGAGTTCCACGATCTCATACCTTCGCCGAATGGCTAACCTTTGTGACGAGATATCAAGGACGTTCCGCTGTAGTACCATAACAAGCTACCAGGGGGCCCAATATCTAATAATTAAAAGTTGAGTCAAAGTTGACCTCCGAACACGTCCCAAAATGTTTTAATCATTTTGAAACATTCGACTGCCGAATAGCAGGCGACCTGACCGAACACCAGCCGACCTTGCTCCCGACCTACTCCTAACCATGGTTGGGTGGAGTTCGGCTAGTATTCGGCACCATGTTCATGAATGTCTGACAGGGTCTTGAGCGGTTCTCCCAAATGAACAAGAACAAGCGTCTCTGTGTAAACGAGAACCTCTTTTACCTTGTTAATCGTACCAGATCGTACACTGTTCTCACTTCAGTGAACTTGATCCCAAAAATCCACGACCGTGGCAACCGTAACCCATTTATGATACGAGTTGAAGAACTTGCGTCAACGGTGGAAATTGTTTACACACACATATAATGGTTCATATATTACATACAGCGCCTGGATAAAGAGTTTCTTTCAAAGTGAATAATGAAAAGATTTAGTATACTAGTAGTTTATTCATTGTTTGTTATTACTAGGACTTAAGAAACTGCTGGGTGACGAGCAGTGGAAAGGTACTAATCTAAGGATACAATCAAGGTCTTTCATTGTGCTCTTTCTATGGAGTCACTTCAATTAGAAATGCTGTCTATCTCAACCTTGCTCTCGATAGGTACAAGGACGACTTTTGTACTGGAAGGGCACAATCCGAAAACATCATAATATTCACAGTTACTCTTATTAGATGTTTCAAACTATTGTCTTTTACCAAACTGAATATGAGAAGAGGATAGACACATGTATGTACTACAATGTATCAACACTCTACAAGCAGAGGTTTAGGCTCTGGCTTATTTTTGGTGTAACATAAACAAGAGAGAATCAGGGGTTATAGAGATAACAAAATCAACCATAAAGTGGTCAACACACACAAAAAGGAATATGTATGTGTATGTTACTTATAGTTCAACTTAAAGATCTGTACGGGTTGGGGAGAGTGGTCTATGACCACCAGCCGGCCGCCCGGCGCTACGGTCACGTCCTTGGGCCGCCGCAGCCCGGTCACCACGTGCCTGATGAACTGCCCCTGGGGGGAGTACAGGTCCACCCGGCCGGCCAGCTCGCTCGTGACCAGCACGTTCCCCTGCCGGTCCGTGCTGAGGCCCCGCGGCGAGCTCAGCTCCACCCCGCACCGGTTATCCTCCCCGAACCGGGACACGTGCTCGCCGTTCACACTGTACACGTCAACCTGAGTTATAAGTCATAAGAAACTTAAATAGCATCTGGCAGACTCAATGACCGGAATCATCACTGTTTTTTATTCCAACGCCAGTTTAAGTACAAGACGTGGTGACGGCACACTCACGTTTTTTCAACTTATTTTTATGATAACCTTTATTGTACATCCATGCCATATCTGGCTAAGTACAGGTGAACAGATGAAAAGGTATATACATGTTTGTAGTACAAACAGGACTACTGATATAACTACATCAGCTCTAGAACTACTTCAGCTTCGGATTCTTCTCGTTTCTTTGTGATGTTAAAAATATAATTTGAAATGTTTTTTTTTAAAACAGGATAATCAAAGCGCATAAGAAAGGTGAATTTTTCGATATTAGCCAGGGATTGGAAGTATGGAAACGTTCTTGTAATCGAAAAAATTATTTCTATCATAACAATATAAATGACAGTACGACACTTCATTGATGATTCTCGCGACTCACCTGGTCACTAGACGTGTCTGCGATGTAGATGAGGCTGCTGACTGTGATGTAGAACGGTCCCAAGGACGTGGTCGGGCCGAGACTCACTTTCCTGATGAAGACACCGCCTGTTTCAGCGTACACATATATTTCCTTCTCTGTTGTACTGCCTTGGATCCTTACCGCCATCACATACACCAGGGTATTGCGGCTAACGCCGACGCCGTACGCCTTCGTGCCTACTTCGAGCTCGATCTTTTTCAGAGGTCTGCCGTTTCGGCCGTAGTTGATGACATAGTTGAATCCGACCACCCACAAGGTCTGTCTGGTGCCGACGGCGATGCCGGATGGTCTCAGCCTGTAGTCAGCTCTGCCCGGTACCCACAGTACGAAACTTCCTCTAAAGCCACCTTGCATGTTGTACCTCACGATACGTTCGTTTTCGAAATCAACTATAACAATTTCTCCACTCCTCACCACTCTTCGTCCTCCACCCTTCTCCCTCTTACCCGTGAGCAAGACGGCCGCGGCTACGGGGCGGCTCTGCTTTTTACCTCCAAAGGTCGCCCCTCTACCGAAACGGACGGACGGAACTGAAATCAACCAAAAGATTTTCGACGTAAGGCGCCTGGTAGATACACATCTGAAGACCAACCAATTCTTTTGCTATTCCAACATCACGCACGTTACCATATCACAAGACATGGCGACAGCACACTCCATGTTTTCAACTTTATGCCGCCACCAACGCAGACAAACGCACAGACAACAGACAAACTCATTTAAGTGAGGCAAGTAATATGTTGAGTGTAACATATACAAGCCGTTCGGTGTGATATAGCTAGCTGCCGCCGCGCCGCTTGCCTGCGAAGCTGGTGTGTTACGCCGAAGGGCGGTTATACCGGCTATACCGATACAGATACATACATTCTGAGACCTATGACTATGAGATTTGATATCAAAATGCATATTTCTCAACCTACAAATTGTGTGTGGGACTTTTCCAAATTCTTCCTCTATTGAGTGAAGCAGGCAAATGGCGAAGGAAAGAGATGAAGATTGAAAAGGTCGTGAAAAAGAACAAGTGTTCGGGTTAGAGCTTTGACTCGAAGAACTATTTTAATCTTGACACTGATTTCCACACATATGCCACAAGACGCAAATCTGTGTCGTCCTAAAACAGAAGGCTAGCGGAAAACCCACATTTCCCGGATAGATCTAAGTTTCACTTTGTAGTCTCTTACCAGTGTTGAAGATATCTTACCTTTGATTACTGAATTGGATATTTGTGAGCAGGCGTCAGCGGTGGTCGTTTTCACTAGAGGCAGAGATGTAGTCGTCATTTGGACGGTTGTAGGTGTTGTCGTAGCAGCGGTCGTTGTAGCATCCGTCGTTGTAGCAATCGTCGTTGTAGCATCCGTGGTTGTAGGAAGCGTCGTTGGCGTGGTTGTAGCAACCGTTGTTGGCGTGGTTGTAGCAACAGTCGTTGTACCATGTGTTGTTGTCGTGGTTGTTGGATCTGTTGTTGGAGTCGCTGTAAATGTCGTTGGCATCGTTGTAGCTTCCGTGGTTGTGGTCGTTGTAGGGTCAATGGCTGTCGTCGTAACAGTCGTTGGCATCGTTGTTGCGGTTGTAGTAACAATCGTTGGCATGGTTGTGGGGCCTGCGGTCGATTTCGAACCTGTAGCTGGGCAAGTACATTGTGTGGTTGTACTAAGACGTACTAGGTTTAAAATCTATGACTGGCGGAGTTTCAGATCATCTTGCTCGGTCAGGTTTTGTCCTACACTTCAAAGCACTTCATAAAAACGAGAAAGCGCGCATTACCATATCATATAGCTTGAAAACTTACTTAGTTTCTCTTGCTCCAGCCAGCTGCGCGTTACCGACTCGCGGGTTGTGGGAGGAAGGGTAGTCCGATCCTGGTCGATCACCTGCAGAAGAGAATACCGTGTTTTTTTAAGTATTCCAGAATCGCATAGCCTCTACCAGACTTCGGGAGGTGGCTGGAAAGAGTAGAGATTGGTAAAATGTGCAGATGATATCCCAGGGAAGTTTGGTACGTCCGCAAACTGTTCTCTTAGCTCGGACCAACTCCCCTGCCATATCATCTGTCTATTCGGCCAGTTCCTACTCTTTCTAGTCACTCTCTTTACGTTACATGTGTCATTGTAGCATTTTCAACGTCTGTCTATAGATAGCGATAGTGGTGCACGTTTGTCCAACTTAATCGCCAAGCATATCTTTTGATGGTTGCAGTGCAGTATCAGATTGGCAAGACACTATCCAATACGCCACCCAAGTTAATGGTTACAGGTGCAGACAGGTGGCCAATACGTATAAAGAATTTAATATAGACTCCCCTTGATTGCCACAATCTGCTTGGAGATTATGTCTACCTCAGGAGAGACGTAGAAAAGTTAGAAAAAGACGTGAAAAACTAGCCTCCTTTGCAGACTTGTACAGTAGGGCGGTGGCGTTATTTTTACGGTGAGCGACGCGAGTCATGCCGCATGGGGAGTTTTGCTTCACCTCCAACGAAACCGTCTCTCGAGTCGCTCACCGAAAAAATAACGCCGCCGCCCTACAAGTCTGCGAAGGAGGCTAGTGAAAAACAAACTGGAAGAAGTATCAGATTTGAGATGAAGACAGCACACCTTTGTGTCGATGTGCACAGCTGATCCCAGCACAACCCGGATGATGACGATGATGAGGATGAGAATGGTGATGATGACAGTTGCCGAGGCCACGATACAAGACGGGCGGCACCAGCCGGCCCGAGTCGGGGCACCGTCGTCGGTACTTTCTGAAAGAACGTCCAAAAAAAAAAGAAAAAATAGAAAAAAAAAACAACTGTACTCCCTAATCGTCCCTGATTTGATAACAGGAAAACTTATCAAGGAAGACATGCTTGTGACTATTGTACTGCTAGAGAGCGAAGGAAAAATAATGGCACGAAAATTCTTTGGAAAGACGTGTCGTGTAGATTTCTCCTGTAGACGCGAAAATTTCCATCCAAGAATCATCGCCACAATATGTTAAAAACGAACGATACTATAAAAACCATGAATTCTGTTGTGCCACTAGGAGGGTCGATAAAAGTTATGACACAACAATATACTTCTTGTCAGCTTTCTTTCTGGCGAATTCGATCGTCTTGTGATATGATTTTGAAAAAAAATCTTAGCCAGTGTGAAATTTTTTGCGACTGATTTCACTAAGTTCTTATCATCCCCCTATCAATAACGAAAAAAGAGTCCATGTGTTACCTTTACGTCTCTTTTCATTCTTGGTCGGTTCACTATCTTGACTTTGGCGTAGGTCTCCATTTTCAGCAATGTTGGATAGATTCGTGGCCGGGGCCCAAGCCTTCACATGTATCCTTCGTCCGTGCTTATGCTTAGGTCCACGAGGAGGGCTTTTCGCGTTCATTTTCCAGGCAGGAAACCGTCTTCAGCTCACTTGCAGTTCGTCAGACTAGCGATTAACTGCTGTACTTTTGAATCTTTTCTCAAAACTTTTTTTCTAGAACTTAACACCTGTTAGCCTTGGTATGCTTTATACCGTGCCTTCCTGGGTGGGTTTACAAGAACAAGTGTGCCTGTATGCTCTCTGGTTATGGTTACCGCGTATCATACTTGTCTCAAAAAGTACTCAATCAACTGCAGGCTTCGCGTAATCTTGTCATGGCAACGGAAACTCACTTACATCGATTGGTTAAACTTCGGGTCAAGGTTTCGTCCCGAAGGGTCGCTCGCATTCAGATTCGGCTGATCTCTGTCGCAAGGATCATTGCCAATTATTGTACGGAGAAATCTCATTACAGAACTTATGGTCTTTGCAGTTTTGAGAATTCTTTAGCGACTGAGGACGGTAGGAATTGATTCTGTCGGCCCGAATGATGTCTCTTGCCAGGGAAGGCGGGCTAGGGAGGGCGGCCAGAGTTCTAGCGTGTGCGATCTAGGTGCGATCACTGGAAAAAAAAAAAAAAGCTCGAACGCTCCTGGAATGCCTGCGAATGAGACTAGTCGAACCTCCGATTATTTTACCGCCAAGTAGGATCCCCCCATGCAGACCCTCTCGCTTTTTACGTGACAACGTTGCCTCACCCGATTAGTTGCAGTACCGTTATCAATCGCTATCCGTCAGGTCGTGTGCCGCGCGCGTTATACTACAACTTCAGCGTTTTGCGACCCACGGAAAACGTACTTTCTCTGACCGTCTAAATCCCCTGGTAAACTATTTCCTTTATTTTGGCCAATTTCTACTATTTTTCCAGCGATCCGCGGAGCCTGGTAGAGGGTAGACAAGAAGTTGAAGAACACGAAATTGCGTCAGAAATATGTACTATGAAATGTAGTCTCGAGCTGTATATAAATTGGTCTACATGGGTGGGTATATGGGATAGACATGATCATGATCATAGCATATTAAATATCTCTGTCTTTGTATGTCAGGGGTAGCGTTATAGTACGTTAATAACACGTATAGCCTCTATAACATAGCCTCTTCCAGGCTTCGGGAATCAGAAAAATGTTTGTTTAGCCAATTTCTACTCTTTCCGGCCGATTCCCGAAGCCTACCGCAGGCTACTGAAAGTACATGCGAAAATGCGAAAGAAAGATGCAGTTCTGATATTGGCCGCATGGCGTCACGTCGGCATCATCAAAACAAGGCAGCGGCAGGGAGCGGTGCATGCTGGGAAGCCTCCCAGCTGTGAGAACCATTTCAGCAGTAGTCGGGAGGTGAGAAGGTGCAACTTGTGTTTTCCTTCGGCCTTTTCTGGATTTCGCCCAATTCTTCCCTGGAATTAGGACCGGCTTTGCCAGACGAGCTGTGGGAAGACCAGGACGAAGTTCCTATCAGGTGAGAACGCTAATCACCAAGCGTAGTCTGGCGGAATATCGCTGTTTTTTGTCGGGTGGTCCCGACAGGAGATAAAAACCAGGCGTGCTGGGCTCTGCAGGACACCCGAAAAAGACAACTTTTCGCTTCTACATTCCCAAGTTTTCCGAACGTTTCTGAGGACATTTGAGTGGTTCTTTTACCCGTTTGTCACCTATAGGTTCGTAAACTAGATTTGGAATCTTCACAAAGGAAAATGCGTGTAGTTTTGGGGCCATAATCCACGTTGTTCTCGAGAGTACTAAACATGTTTATACATATAGTGTGAAATTTAAATGGGACCGTTATGTTACACAATCAACCAATCCGAGAAAAATATAGTATAGCTCCTGGTAGAAAAACTAGTGTCTAGATCGCTTAGAGTGACAGTTTCCTTAGTTTATAATTAGTCTCAGATTTTTTCTGCTGCACTGATTGACAAGAATAATCGAAAGACCACAGTTGGAATGAGATAAACCCATACAGGAAGTCAGTTGTCTCCCGGTTTCCTGATTTTTATCTGGTTAGAAAATGAGAAATATTCTCCCGAACAAAACATGTGGAAACCCTCAGAAAATGTCAGAGGAAACATCTTAGCAACTATTTCCTGTTTTGGACTGAATTCGTGGGCTGCATAAGAATAATTTATTTGGGCTGACCACGAATAGACAGAATGTGAGAATGTGTGAAAAGATGAAAGATTGAAGGATGATTTACACTTACAGAATGGGAAAACGTAAACCATTTTATTTACCGATATATGTGTTGTTCACCCTCGATTCATGCTAGTAGCTTGGAAAAACATTTCGTGCTGACAACTGCTTTTTCTCGATAATGAATTCCAATTAAAATTACATTTTTTTGCTGCAAAGCCTCTAAAAACCCCCTATGGAGGCATAAGTTACATATTGAGGGAATACCATAATCCTCTAGCATACATGGTATAATGCGTCTTTCATGAATACAATTTTAACAAGATTAACTGATCTAAACAGAATCCACTTATTTTCATTCAATTTGCTTTTGTCAGTTTGTCTGCATTTGTAAGAAATACTTGTAAATATTTTCTTAAACTGTCAAAACTACAAATTATGGCATCGGTTTTAATTTTCCCTTTTTTTACTAAGGTTTTTCAACAATGCAACTCGTAGGAAGTCAATTGAAAGGGAGTATGGATTATTTTTAGCATGCAAACAAAAACACAAAGCTTTTGTTGTCCGCTTGCACTTGAAAGGTGATTCATGGTGTAAATATGCCCATGTGTTAGACCAGCAAACATGCCGTGAATGTACACTTGACTGGGTCGGACGACGTCACACATTCCACAACCTGCAGCTGTTAAATAACTGCATGCGATAAAAGAAAATGTAGCTTCAAAAGCAGCACCTATTTCTGTTCCCCACTCTGGGATCAAAATACACATATAAATTATAATATATGATTTTCAAGATTTGTTTGTAAAAATAATGTGATGTTGAACATATCAGATAGTGTTCCCTTCATAATGGCATTGCTATATTTGCTAGTACCGGTATTGTAGTGCAGCTAATGTTATACTAATTTACAATTATATTTTTATAGAGTGTTTCTTTCCTGTTTTCCCCAATGACTTTCATGATGTCTATCAAAATTTGCCAGATTTGCAGGCCCACGCCCCATTGCACCCACTACTTTATAAAATTTTCCCTCTGTCATAAGAATGTGGTGTTGGAGATTTTCTTAATCAGACTTGTGTATCTAGAGAAGGCTGAACTTCCAATTTTGCATGTAGATTTTAATGTAAATTTTCTACCAAAATGCAATTTTGCATGTAACCGGATTTTTGAGCCCCGCCACTGGTGTTTTTTTTTTGAGAGAGAGTTGTTCCAATTTGAGATTGAATCAGGCATTTGATTCATCTGTATGCTGTCAACAGCTAGGGCATGTTTCTGGATTCGGGACGGCGACGTTAGGTTAAAAGTCAACCCATTATGGATTCCCTTTTAAGGCGAATCATTTTCGTGGCAGTAATCGGAGGACAAATACTTTAGTACGGAAAAAAAACCCTAGTGTCGCGTTATAATGACTGTCAGTGAGATCCAATGTGACACTCATTGGATACCAGCAAAGCTTTTTATGCAATCAAACTGGATATGTACATATAACAATAGTCTAGAGACAAAATAGACTATCTGTGGACTACATATAAATCACGATTATCACATTATTTCTTTCAAGTTGTGGCATTTCCGATTTTTATAACAGTTTTAGCATGACTTTTGAAACTGTGACTCAACCAGGTAACATTTGAAGTACAGATTTTTCAGAATTGAGATTGTCGTATTTTTTTCTGCATGCAAAATACTTCACAGGGACTTCTGTATGGATGGCATCCAAAACATAATGCCTTGTTCCTGGTCGATATGCCAAGCACTCGGGTTGGCGGGGCAGGTGAAATGGATACTTCTGCAAATGTTGTCCCTTCATCCAGAGGTCACCAGACAAAGAAGTCATTCTCTGTAGAGGTTCAGATCTGTACGAGAATGTTTTACTGTAAAGAAAGTTTCAAAAACATTTAGCAAGATTCTAGAAACCCCATATTTTTCTCCCTTTATAAGTAGGCATGATGGTTATGCATGATGACTGCTTTTGGGTACGAATGCTTGTTGTACGTTGAAAATGAGTATTAGTGTTCTTTTACCCCCACCTTGTTTTGAACACTCTAGTGCAAACAACCAATGACCTTTGACCAAAATATGGGGCTTGCCCGAACTTGTACTCATGTTCATCCTTAAAGCTGTTCATATTTAAAAACTGCCCAAGACATTTTTAATGTTGGTATTAGAAAACTAAATACTGACTTTGACAGGAAATGTTTTGAACAGTTAGTTGATAGTTTTTTAATCATTTTCTCAGACCTATAAACTCCAGCTACAGTGCTCTCAAAGCTTTGTTGCTATCATTTTCATCCTTAGTAGAAGGTACATATAACTTTTGTGAAAACAAGTAAAAATTTGTACTTCAGGAGACAAAAGAGTTTTTGTATTGCTGCACTTGTTTGTTGTCTCAACGTGTTTACGTGTTGTTTACAAATCCATTTTTTGTGCAGAGTTACAAAACCTACCACTTGGAATGCTTTAAGGCAACTGTCAATATACTAAGATACCTGATAACATTATACATTATGACGTCTAAACTGACAGAGTTGATAACTGTTGATTGTCTCAGTCGACCGTTCTTTAATCACTTTTCCTATAATTATCACCACTATTGGAGAAGAGATAATTTGATTAAGATGGGCAATAGCGCCAGATTGGAGAAAACATCAAAGGAAATTATCTGGTAGTGCCGACTGACAGATTTCATTGATTGGGAGATATCGGTCTCTGTGTACAGACCAGTCATGTTTCAGTCAGGTTTCAGTGATGATGAAATCCTGTTGGGGTATTCCATTTAAAAATTATGAGAGGGTAAAACAAGAATGACTTGCAATGGTTTGGTAGAAGTCATACTAATATACAAGTCATATTGATATTAGGAACCTGAAGTTTTGATATGCCCTGAATAAAAGATGAGTGAAGGAAAATATACAAATTTGATATTGACCAATAGAGTGCAGGGTGTGTAAAATATTTATCTTGTATCACCCCTATGACCTAGATATGAATAGAATAGTCTGTTGAAGAAAGGCAAGACCCAAGAGAACCAGGGATATTTGAAAGGGTACATTTAAATTTAGCAATGCTTGTCCCAAGATACTACTACATCAGTCCGAAGGCTGGGGGTCCTACAAGGAATTTTTGCTGCAGACACTCTTTTCTCTTGTTCAACACAAGCAAGCAAAAGAGAGAGCCAACAGTAAGCACTGAGGATGGCACCCAGGCTACTTGCTATATAAAATCTAGTAAAAAAAATTAACGTGTGTGTATTATGATAATACAATCACTTGGATGTATAGCTTACTTTGCAAAACAATCTCTTTCCAGTTTACGTATATACGTATCTATCATCATACTTGCATATAGCCTGGATGCCAGACCCATAGCACACTGGACACAAAGTATCTCAGTGAGCACAGGAGATACTTTGTGTCCAGTATGCTATGGGTCTGGCATCCAGGCTAACTTGCATAAAGATACCGAAGCTATTTTCCATTGGCCATGCAGGTTAAGTATGATGGGCACGTGCCTCAATTTACCGCATAGCTATTTAGAGATGGCAAAGTACAGAAGCGCTTAATTCAGATTTACATAGGAATGAGGACATTATTCGGTTGGCCATGGTATCCCTGTCTCACACATGGGGTGTGCCAGGGATTTTACGTCTTCACACATCCGCAGAGTTCCTTCTCAGTACTAAGAATTGCAAGAAGTTGATGCGTTACTGTAAGTCGTCAAACCATCACGGCGTTTTATTCCTTGGTATGAAGGAAAGGGTGGTTTTGAATTTGCGGTTGAAACAGTTATGTCTGTAGTATACTACAATAGTCAGTCATACAATCTAGACATACAGTATTTGTGATGTCATGAATTTGCGATCAATCACTGAAAACTGGGAAAATAAAAACCACTCAGAAAGTTTCATCATTTACAGTAGCCTAACATGTAGGATGACAGCTTTGATTACGGTTCTCAGTGTCTGGTCCCTGTCATTAGGCCTGGTGAGGTGCAGGCATGAGTCGGGATGAGTCAGACCTGGAGTGTTTCCTGTTATGGTGCAGGCAGTCTGGCACTCTTCACATTTACGCAGGCAAATTTTGGTATTGTGTCAGCATGCTTCAAGTCCAGCACTTGATTATATTTCACAAGATTCTGAAGTAACAGTTTGATGCTGATGGTTCGATACCATATGTTGAGGTCACCAATGATTGAACATATATAATGTAATGATACTAATATGGAATGAAGTAACAGTCAGATGGTAAATACAGGAAACCAATATCTAATATTCTACCAAACCAAATTACCGACGTTTCACTGATCCTATCTGGAATATTACATGTT